TCCTGGGGCGTTCTTGCCCAATTGATGGTTAGTCACTTGCGTGAAGAACCAGGGAGGGTGTTCGTGAGTCTGCGAACGTTGCTGTTGGATACATGTGCTGGATGATTTTGTGTCACTCAGACTGGTAAGATAACCGTTTGATAGGGGGCACCGCGATGATTCACGGGGCCCCTCCTTGCTGTGGGAGCCGCTCTTTGAGCACTCCCTCTTTCGTCCGTGTGTAGGATGGTCGTCTACCTCCCGTGAAGTTAATACATCACCAAAGCAGTCTCACCCGATAAATAAGTGGCGTAGGCCGCAAACATTAGCAACTGACATACGGTTTAATGTGAAGACAACAACAACAACAACAACACGGTACTATTATAATACTGCTAGCCTATGGGAATTTGGCCACGAAACATCTCACTTCGCGTGGCTGCAACGAGATCCAAACCTATGTTCCCAAAGTCATAAGGTGGTGAGGTTACCTCCTACTGAATCTCTCAGCCGCTGTTGCGTGAATGTTGGGGTCTTGCAAAGTGGAAAACAAGACGGAAAGACGGGGGGAGTTCGTGTGTACGCAAATCGACTGCACACCGTGCGTCCGCGACGACAATGGAAAGGAAAAACACCTAATCCTTCTCACGAGACAAATAATTAAGTCTCATTTCGCCACATCCAACGGTTTGCTGCTTGACCTCAACAAGCAAGCGCTGAGGAGATGACCTCCTCCCTCTTTCGTCGCGGAGACCTCCCCTCTCTCTGGTCGCGGAAGAAACAACAACCACAGTTACGGTTTCAGGTAGGTTCTCTTACGTCCGCCCTCATTTTCTGCCCGTTGGAACACCCTCGACTGCAAGTCTAACTCCGAGTGAAATATATCGTAACGACACCCCTTTGATTACGTATGGGTCTCATCCCAGCCGAAGACCCCCTTTGCAACTTATTGTGTGGCCTCGCCCGAGCCTCCCACAGCAGGGAGCAGTAGCCGCACACCCAGCCCTTCAGCAGCAGGATGACTGTCAAGAGGAGGAACCACGGAAGGAACAAGAAGGGCCGCGGCCACGTCGTGCGCGTGCGGTGAGTGAAGAAGCATTCGTGGCGCTCTCTTCTGTGGAAAGAAAAGATGTGTGCTTGGCAGCAGCAGAAAAGGGCAGTCAGGGAGTGGAGAGCAGCACAGAAGCTACGGTCGGTGTCCCAGGAAGGCCCGCCTCCTTTTGCCACGAACCACCAAGCACCCCAAGCAGTGTCGACCTTCAATCCGTCTTTTATGGTTTTGAAGCAGTTGTCTCTTGTGCGGATGGCACGAACGTCGGAGTGCCCGCTGTTCCCCTCTGTTGCAAGCACACGAGGTGCACGGCGGCAGCAGCAGGTGGCGCGCTTATAATTTACCACAAGCCTCGCTGGCGATGCCAAAGCAGATGATCGCAGCTGCTGCAGCAGGACCAATAGGTTATTGTCCGCATGCATGATCTCCGGTTTCGCACGTCTAGTTTGACTCCGGGCATCATCCTATCGATTCACCAATTCACTGGCACCAGCTTCCGCTACAATGTGGAGGTGCTCGTTACGGCGGGTCCGGTATAGACTACACCCCACGCCCACCGAGGACAGCAGTGTTGGATCAGCTCTGCTGTGTAGACTGTATATGTTACTGTTGTAACCTCTGTGTTGTAGGCATCCGGGGGAAGGCTGTTAGCTGCTATCTCTCTTCATATCTCCACCCGGCGAACTGCGCTTTTGAACCGCGTACACCTTCCATGTCCATACAGTAACAGGAGGGGAGCTTCAGCTGCAGATTGCCGCACTGCTGCGTTTTCCGCTGGCTGAGGAACCGACGCCAAGCAGTCGTTCAGAGGCGAAAATGTTAACGCGCCTTTTACCATATGCGCGAATGTGTGACAGCAATTTAAGACTAGTTGATTCGCCGGTGTCGTACACCCAACGGGAGTACTGTAAGAGCAACCAGACGCAGGGATTCAATTTTTCAACAACTGCAGAGCCGCAGCATTTGCGAGCAACTTGCCACAGGTTTCCAAGTATTCAACACGCCATACATGGATTTCCAAAGGTTGGATTACCCTTGCAGCAACCAATGACGTTGCCGAAGATGGCGGCGTTGGAATGGTCATTGGGAACAGCAACTGTTGGTTTTTTGTTATCGTCTTCGTCGTGCAGTAGTAGCCGAGCCCGGACAATCCGTCGGAGGGGAGTGGTATCTTGCGGCACAGCCTGTCATCATTGGGAGATAGGGTAGCGCGCGGAAGATATGAACAGGACCTAAACCATGGAAAGCGCCGACTAATAAGTCCAACCAGATGCCTGGCTCACCACTAATGCGGGTGTGTGATTATATCTGCCGATGCGTGCGAGCCGGCACGTCTATATATACATGTATTTATTTTTCGTTCCGTCTCTATATCGTGGTGATTACTGTGGATCCCAAGATGGAGGCAATGCAACAAGAACTTGCTGTTTCCCGTGTCTAAGTTGATTGAGGGTCTCCGGCGGTGGAGAGGCAGTACGGCGATGTATCGACCAGACCAGTGCCTTGCGGTTATTGTACCGAAAATGGCGAGTGAGGAACACAACCTGCGATCCAACGTCTCTTCCTTTTCCGGCCACCCCGTTGTTTGCTCCCTCTTAACACAAAACCAGCTGCACACAACGTGTCAACATATCCATAGTAAATAGTGGGCTCTACCGGGGTTGCCTTTTCACCATGCTGCTGTGTGAACGATACTCAGATGTCAAGTGGAGAGCGATGAGTGTCGCTTGTGGCAGCCGCGCAATAATGTGTGCGGCCTAGCCTAGCACACAGGGCAAGACATGGCGTGAGTTTGCGCAAGGCCCAAGCCGCCCAGCAGCGTCGACCCAGGCCCCTACTAGATAGGATGAAGAAACCGAAAACAATAATTGTGACTCCGGCTATATAATGCACCCGAAGTAGAGGGTAAGATTATCACGGATGACACGTACACTTGCGCACACTGTTTCCGACTGGTACCGTCGCTTGGGGTTCTGTCAGACCAGTGAGACAGGGGTGCATTTTTTCGTCTTCTCTTTTGGAAATCTCTTGCCACAGGATTTGATAGGGCTACGAAAAGAATGCGTTGAGGGAATATGACCGTCCCCCGGGGTGTTATGTCCTCTTTGTTCCCGGCCACAGCACCAAGGCAGATTTTTATCCTATGCTTGGGAAGCAGGGAACCCCATACAAGCATGTCCGGAGGAAAAAGCAGAGTCGCAGACCAAAAACAGGAAAAGTCGTTGGGCCACCCCGGATAGCGACTCAGTCGGGTGGTCATCTATGCCCGTCACAGAACGTGCCCGGTCACCCGACATCAGCAACAACCTTGACCTTTCTTTCTATCCGAAAGGAACTCAACGAAGCGCGACTCTTGTCGTCCAGACAAGAGTTCATATGTGTGCCTGCGTCTGCAACACCAAAAATCGTGTAGACAAATAAACATGTAAAAACTGCGAAAGCAAAAATTGGCACACAAATTCGTCACCTTGCCCGATGCGATTGTCGCCTCCGATCAACAGATTACCCTCGTCGCCTCACGTGTTGCACTCCAAGGTGTGGTTGCGTTTCTCGTTTGATTGCGTGGGTCGCGCGTATTGGCGATCGTTTCCATTCTTGTTCCACGGTTCCGTTTCTATTTTTTTTTTCTGCCAATGTTGTGGCTGCGACGAACAGGTGCGCGTCCACCGCTAAGGCCATCCCCAAGGACAAGGCCATCAAGCGTTTCATCGTCAGGTTAGTCTTCCCGCAAAGATTGCGAATATAAGTAGGAGATTGATGTGTACCAAATGGCGATTGGATATTAGTTTAGTGTTCGTAATATGCGAAGCGGGAAGTCCTAGACACAGCAACGGGAAGGCCGGGAATATTGCAGGATGTCCATTGCATTCAACTCTTGTCAGGGAAAAGGAAAACATGTGGACATCTCGTATGTCCTCGGGATGGCGACAGTAGCACTTGTACACGATGATACAACGGGCCTGGAGGCGGAGCCATTGATGCGTAGCTACTTGCACTTGTTTTTTGCATCATTCAATCCAAGCAGCGTTGAGTGCCGATTAGTTCCGTCGTAGACGGTGGTAACGTGTGTTGTGGATTGTGGTAATGTGTTCTGTACCTGAAATATATATCTATATATATGCCATGGCACGGGTCCTCTGTTTGTGGATGTAGTTCTGGTCGCGATACCCAGCATGCCCCCTACTCTCGTGTGGGCGGACACACGTACGACGACCACGGTCATTTTCGTGCTTCTAATCACAAGAACGAACAACGTTCGTGCACACACGTCGAATCCGTAGCTCGACACATCCGTCGCACAGTCATGCCCAACCTCGTCACCAACTTCGCTTGCCGCTGGACCCATATGTCATGTGTCATGTGTATGACGAGATCCCGTTGTGCTCTCGCTTACAATCTACGTGTGTTTGACTTTTTGGTCCCCCCCCCCCCCCCCCCCCCCCCCCCCCC